TATTAATTATCTAAACTTAAATATTAATGAGATTTAGTTGATTATGAAAGATATTTATAAAAATCCTTTTCTTAATATAGTTAAGTCTGTCTGAAAATTTAAGCCAAAATTGGAACAGAATATATAGTAAAAAAATCTTTGTATAATTAAGTTCATCCAAATCTATTTGACAATTCAAACGAATTTTGGGCAGATTATGTAAATTTCTATTTTGATGGCTAAACTCAATTAAAAAATTTCAAATTCTGAGGTGAATTTTAGAGACATTACATAACTTATTATATTATAGATTTGTTTTTGCAAAGTTTGTTTCAAGAACAAATTTTAGTTAGAAAAGAGAAAATAAAACATCTGGTTAAAATTTGATTCAAAATGTGAAATTTTCAATAGCCATACATAATTTTATCTTTTAGAAAATTCTGACATGTAAAATTATGAGATCGAGACTTGAATAGGGAGTGATGCTTAAGTAAAAATGTGAAATCATTCGAAAAATTGTTGTTTCCATTTTTGAAGGAAGAAACATAAAAGAAGAAGAAAACAGAAAAAATAGAATTGTTATTAGGAAAAGAAGATAAAGCATTGGTATAAGTTAGTTTAAGTAACCAAAATGCATGGAGAGGATTTTCTTGCTGTTGTGTGGGGACCACAAGTGCCGTTAATTATACATTTTAGAATCCAAACTAACGCGCTTTCTTCTGCAATCACCTTTTGTGTGAACCATCCTACTCTTTTTCTTTTTCTTTTTAAATAATTGCTACCTTTTATTTTTATTTTTATTTTATAAGATATGTTACCAATGAAGAAAACAAAAATAATATTTGCATTTCAACATTTAATGCATTTTATACTACCTTACAAGAATAAAAAGAATTTCATGTTTTAGAATGTATATTTTTATTTTACTACCTAAACAAATTATCTAAAAATAATTACTATATAATTTCTATGTATAAACTATTGCCACTGTACATGGCCCAAAACTTCTAAACTTCTGAGGATTTGGAGAAGAAATTAACCATGATCATAGGTGATCTTCAAGCTTTTATCTTGCTTTAATATTTTTATGTTTCCTGTCAGGAAAAAAAAAATCTAAATGGTTACAGACAATAACAACCTACCGACAAATAAAAAGAAAATTGTTGGGACATATATATGTAGATATATCACTTTGAAGAATAGTATCATTTTTTTTTTCTTCTTATCTCTCATTATTATAATAAATTATATAAAAGAAACATCAGTCACGTTTGAATTTCCATTTCCTTTCCATGCCCCAAACGTATTAAACATTATGTAATACTTTAGGCATCTGATAGATATTATAAGAGTTGAAATAGGAGACAAGACAAGGTATGATTTTAGAGCATAGTTTAAGAAAGAGATGGATGTAATGTAAGTTGTCTATCCAAAGAAGAAAACTAAAGAGACAGTTGCACGACTCATAATTGGATGCCCTGTAAGCTGAGGACACTGCTTTAGTGATACCAATATAATTGTAAATTTAGTTTCTCCCTGTAATATTATATTCGTGATTTTTTTCACCAAATTTTTAATTTCCTAATTTTAGGATTTTATAAAATTGACAATTTTAAGTACTATTTTTAATTGTTTTTGCTGATTGTTGAGATGTCATGAATTAAGATTAATTAAATAACATGATGATTAATATTTAATTGTATTTATATTAAACTTATTTTTATTTTTATTTTATTTTTATCTCTTTTTTTATTTTTAACTTTAAGGATTAAAAGTATAATTTAGTTTAAATATTACTACAACGAACCATATAGTTCCTATATTAGACGTTATATTTACTAGTAATGAACCAACTACTAATTTAGGATTATATATATACATACATATACGAGAATATGTATTATATATCCTCCATATAAAGGTAAAACAACTATACAAATATACATAATATAAGTACGGTATTCTAGTAAAAGCAAATCATACAACATAAATTGTCGATCAAGCAACTCCTATACATAATACTACACAGCAATAACACCAAAAAGACTTCACTTTACCATTCACTAGATGGTCTCCATTATACATCATCTTAGTATATCCCTACTTTGCTCCTATATTAAGTATAATCATCGCAATCCAAATCACATGAAAACATACAGGGGTAAGTTAGAATTTAAAGCATCAACATATACAACAAGATTTTACAACACAACTCATATTTTTCAGCATCAACATTTTAATACATTCAAATCTATCAATTTTACAACTACATCTACTACAAAACAAGGTCATCTTAAACAAGACAACATCAACAACTCAATTTTCAACACATTAACATACTTCATCACAGATTAGCATTGCATATGAACAACACAATTCAATCAACATCTCATATGCATAACACAACAACTATATGTGTTAACACACATTTCAACTAGGAGATCTCCTACAACATAGGATAAATAATTTAAATGACTTGATCTTATCAAACCAACAATATGGGATATGATGATCTTTTTTGCTTACTAGATCAACAACAAATTGAATATCAATCCACAATATAACAATTTAGTTTCTCGAATGTTACCACTTAAACAAGGAGTCTAGTTCTATTATATGGGTAGAACAACTAGATATAAGTCTACCATGACATTGACAAACTTAATTAAGCCTCCTATGAGATTAGTCCACCGATTACCATCTAAATACTACACCCTTTTAATACTTCATTAAGAACTAAGTTTCTGACTTCGTACTTTACTTAGTTAGTCACTTGTAGTTAGTATAACTCAATCTGAACCCTATACTTTGATTGCTTTGTACATATGTCTTGACCTTACTCACACACGATACCAACAAAGTCATAGAGAAGACTCAACACAACTATTAAGGGTTAACTTTCCAATAAGAGTTTTTTAACCAATTGGGCTCTTAAAACACTACAACATAATACCACACAATGGGATATACAACTTTGAAAAAACTCTCCTCTAGTCATAGGTTGGTCATCACAACTCAATAACATCATACATAAATGCCTAAAGCATTCTCAAGCATGAATTATCTCAACAACACAACAACATAATGCTTATAGCAATTTCAACACAGAATCACACAACCTACAATTCGTCTCAACTTTCAAATAACAACTTGCAACATAATCATCACATACAACCTCATCCATGCAACTGATTCATCCTCATTTAGTCATCAAACAACTCAATCAACAAGTATTCCAGAACTCATCAAATCAAACATGTAAATTAGATCGTATAATATTTTAAATTCAATTCAGCAGTACGTATAAATATGTATTTTGGGATTTGATCCATATTTATAATTCGAATGTAATTTGAAGATTATAAATGTTATTTTTTTATTTATAAATTTAAATGTTGTAATTAGTATCATGATATGTGAAAATTTGTTTCATCTTTTGCCAGATATCTTGATAAATGAAATTGCGAGATTAATACTTGTGTAGTGACATGTAAGAAATTATAGAATATGACAAAAAAAATATTATAAAATGCATAATTTATTATAAAGTAACTCCTTAACATGATAAAAATCTTTAGTGTTTTTTTTTTTGACAACCAAAGTCTTAAGTACTTAAGATATGTACGTACTTGAATTAAGAAGTTATTTTTATTTTTTTTTGGTGTTGAATTAAGAAGTTATTTAATTAATATATCAGAAAGGGTAAATTAAGAAACTTGGTAAAGGTAAACAACGGTGGAGAGTTACGGGCAGAGGAGATTAAAAATGCTTACAAATATTATTCTGTAATTTTGGTTTTGATAATGATATTTTCATCCGTAAATATAGACTTACTAAATCGAATCACGTAAAACTTGTGTAATGGGTTATAATAATGCATTTGCTAATCACTCATATTTATCAAAGCAAGTGGAAAAAGGGATGAAGATGGAACATTTTGAAGACCTTGTTTTATGAGCATTAATGATATATAGCAATGCTTTAGAAATTTTAGAAATTATTAAAATGATTTTTCCTCTTTTAATAAATTTTTTTCATTTATTAATAAATGTCGTTTTGCTTATTTAAAACTAAATTTTTCATGCTTGCCATATTCAAGATTATTTTCAAGTTTGTGTCAGGGTTAACAAATTTATCTTCGTAATAAACTATTTCCCTATAAAAAAAATTGTGAAAATTTACAAAAGTGATTATCATGTATGATTCTTCTACAAATATATTTTTTTTAAAAAAAAAAACAGCATAAATTTCTTTAAAATGAGCCTATTAAATCAAAATTTATTACCTAAAAGTCATTTTAATCAAGTTGTTTGATCAGATGTTTCTCTAACTATATATATTATAAGATTTCAATTGAAATAAAACATTATTTCATACTTATGAAAAAGATTCGAATTATAAATAATTTGATTAAAAAACATAACAAGTATTATTTATTTTAACTCACATCAATTTTCATATTATTTATTAAAATTCAGTATCATATATTTGGAAAAAAAAAATTAACTGTTTTAGAATTTTTTTTAAAAAAAATTACAAAAATAAATATCCCCACACTTTATTTACAAAAATAAAACTTTACTATAACAAGTCAGAATTCGGTTCAATGGTTTCTGGTAATTTAAAAATTATATAAAAAAAAAATGTAAGGAGACCACTGTAGTCAGGTCAGAATTTGATTCCCTAGAGATCAAATTCTGACCTGTTACAGTAAAGGAGTTTATTTTTGTAAATAAAATATGGAGGAGTTTATTTTTGTATTTTTTTAAAAAAAATTCACATTTGGAATTAGCAAAAGTATTTTTTGTAGCCTTAATTCAAAAAGAAGCTATAATGGTCTATAAAATTTTTTCATGAATCTGAGGATGTGGGCCCTGAAGCCAGAATCGGACTGAATTGCTTGTAACTGAACGACCCATTTTCTTCCAAATCCTATGTCTAAAAGATTAAACTATGAGATATTTGCCTTTTTTAAGCACCACTATCCTTCCTACTTCTCTATTTTGTCTCACAACAAACTCTCTCTTTTGGAAAACAATTCCAAATCCCTCTGTCCCACATTGTCTATATGAAACTACTGTTTCCTACTCTGCATATTATCTAGTTTTCTTACCTTCTAGTATAGGTAATTTACAAGTAATTACTTTCTTCATTTAAGGGCCTCAATTTTTCAATTTAAAGCAAGATTCAAATGATCAAATCTCAAACATATTTTTCAGTGAATGTTCAAATTCTGGTGTCTAACTGTTGTGTCTTTTTCCTTCTTTGTTTTTTCTTTTCCCCTTCTTAGGTGATATTTTTTGTATTCACTCACATGGTATGTTCTTTTTCTTTTATTTTAAATTTGTGATTCTGTTGATTTGTGTCAACTACTTCTGCAGAAAGAGCAATGAGTACAGGAGACAGGCAAAGAATGCATGAACAAAGTGGTTGCTTTGATCCCAACACAATGGGAGAAAGTGTTACCTCTCTAAAGGATAACTTTCCTCAAAACCCTCTACCTCCATCACCTATGGTTGTGGTAGGCAACACCACAAACAGCAATAGCTTTGAAGAGAATCTCAAGCTTTCTGTGGATGAGCTCTCCTACAACCATCACAATCCAGAAGATGTCTCCACCTATGCAAATGGAGTCACTGCCTCATCAATTGACATCTCACATCCACAACATCTAGGTTTGAACATGGGGAACACCTTTAACAACAACAACAACAACATGGATAACCATTTGGTGCAAGAGGTGATTGATGCCCTTTCCTATCAGCACTCCACTTGGGACCAGGAATCACAAGACATGGCATATGCTAATCACACACAACAACAACAACAACCAAATGAACAACAATTTCAACAAAGTCAAAGCTACAACCCCTCTTCCATACTAGACCCTCCTTACCCTTCACCAGATCTCCTAAACCTTCTCCACTTACCAAGATGCTCAGCCTCATCTTTGCTCACAAACCCAACTCCAAATTTTCAAAATCCAATGGCCTTTCTTGGAGAGTTTCCAATAGGATCAGACAACACAAGTGCATGTGCATCCTCAGTTTTGTATGATCCTCTATTCCATCTCAACCTGCCTCCACAGCCTCCAGCCCTCAGAGAGCTGTTTCAGTCTCTCCCCCGTGGCTACAGCTTGCCAACCAACTCCAGGAATGGTTCACTCTTTGGTGGAGGGGATGAGATGGAGCCAGATGACATGGGAGTGCTCGAATTCAACAGGGTCACACCTTCTGTTGCCAAAGGAAGGGGTGGCAAAGCTACCAAACATTTTGCAACTGAGAAACAAAGAAGAGAGCAACTCAATGGAAAATACAAAATCTTGAGGAGTCTCATCCCAAACCCCACCAAGGTATTATGAACTTTTTACAATGTTTATTTTTAGCCCCCTAAAGAATTCAAAAGTCAGATACAATACCATTTGTGCAATTGGTGTTGATCTTAAACTCCAATTTCGGAGAACAACATCAACTATACTTATGGTAGTGTACCTAAGTTTTGTTCATAGAATAAATCATCTTTTGATCTCTCATTTATGAAATGATTTTGTCCTTCACAACAAATTATATCTTTATTTTGTCTCATTTATGAAAACAAAGACCAAAAAGAGACGTTTTATTTTTTTGAGGAATACATTTTCTTTTCTATGGATCTAACACAGATTGATAGAGCATCTGTGGTGGGAGATGCCATTGACTATATAAGAGAACTGATTAGAACAGTCAATGAGCTCAAACTATTGGTGGAGAAGAAAAGATATGGGAAGGAGAGGTGCAAGAGGCCAAAAACAGAAGAAGATGCTGCTGAGAGCTGTAACATAAAGCCTTTTAGTGATCCAGACGGGGGCATAAGAACCTCATGGCTCCAGAGGAAATCCAAAGACAGTGAGGTTGATGTCCGAATTATCGACGATGATGTCACAATCAAACTCTTTCAGAGGAAGAAGATTAACTGTCTGGTGTTTGTCTCCAAAGTTCTGGATGAACTTCAGCTGGAACTTCACCATGTTGCAGGTGGACATGTTGGTGAATATTGCAGCTTCTTGTTTAATAGCAAGGTTGACATAAAACTAACTGTGTAGTTATAAATTCCTTGCATGAACAGAATTATCGCCTTGTTGTTTGTGGTTGTATATTTAACTGTGACTTGTTTCACTGTGGCAGATAATTGAAGGTTCTTCTGTCTATGCAAGTGCCATAGCCAATAGGGTGATTGATGTTTTGGACACTCAATACGCAGCCGCAGTTCCACATACAAACAGCTATTAGAGAAGGAAAATATAGTGTCAAGATCAGTCATTACATGCTTAACTTGTTTAGTAATGATTATAATAATGATATTAATAAGTTCATGGACACAAACAGATAGGAAAATTTATTAGTTCAACAATTTCATACTTATTCATGATAAAGTTTCTTCAATTCTGATACAAGGATATTGTTAAACTTTAATTTGGAGTCGGAGTGACACAACAAAGTTATTTTGCTAGTGTTATACACAAAGGCTTTTTATTTTCTCTTACATTTTAACTTTGTATTTTAGTTTAGCAACAGGCATTATGCCCGATGAAGAAATGAATGCATTATGTTATTTTTACAAATGACCATTGAGTGGTTGAGTCATGCTCGGCTTTTCCTAATTTTGGCATGTAACTACTTAATTATAGTTATAATTCTCACTGTTTTCCATTTCCACGAGAGATTTGTCAATGACATGAAATCAGCATTGCTGCAACAAGTAAAAAAATAAATAAATGAAATTACTTTTTATATAAAATTATTATAATAGTAACAACTAAATTATGCATATATATATATATATATATATATATTAATTTAAATAATTATTTACATGATATGTATTTTTTTAGTTGGTTTTATAGATTACATTTTAATGTTATATGTTACATCAAGGAAACAAATTCTCTACCACATTAAAATGTCAACATTTTATCTAAAATGAAATTCCAACCATATAAATATACAAAATCAAATGATTGTATAAATAAGTATAACATATATAATAAAATTATATATAATAGAAATTATATATATATATATATATGTGTGTGTGTGTGTGTGTGTGTGTGTTTGTGTAATAGGTTAATTTCATAATAGTAGAAAAATAAAAATAAAAAATTAGTTCAAATTAAGTGTTCCTTATGATTTCAAGATGTGCATAGTAAAGATATTATAAAAAAAAATAAGTAAAAGAATAAAATCAAAAGGTAAAAAAGGAATTTATGTATTGAAATTGAAATAATTTATTGTAAGATAAATGCTATTAATACAATATCTAATACACTCTCTTGATTATACTCATTTATATTAAGTAAAATTCATTAAAAATTATAATTTTATAAGTTTCAATTCTTATTTAAGGAATTTCACTCATAATTTTGCAGTTTTCAATCTATTTTAACCAATAAAAAATATTAAAATATCAAATGGGCATTACTAGTAGTCTTCCTCATTACAATATTAAGAGTAGCTTAGATAAGTAATTTAACTTATACGTGAATATTGGTTAATTAAATGAATAAAAAAAAGGAGGGCAAAACAAAAGGGTGAATTGAATTTGATGAATAATAAATCTTGAAGGTGAGAAATGTTTAAAATACAGATACAGATATTATATGGTGCTAACAGTTTACATTCTGTAAGTATAAATGGATTTGGTTTATAGAGTATTAAATAATAAATTCATGTCATTAACATTTTTGCGGACTAAAATTCAAAATACTAGTCTCTTCTAGAAGAATTTAACTCTTAATAAAGAAAGAACTCACAATTGGAAGAAATAAATGAGTCTATACATCTGAATTCAGACTTGGTGTTCTGTAAACTATATTCCCTGTGCCCGAAAAAATACAGCTAAATTTAACTACAAAATTTATTGTCACATCAATCACAATGCCTATATTGGTTGGCTAGTATCTCAGGTCTCAAAAGAGAATAATGACATGGCGCCAGCCAAGCCAGTTACACTAAAACCCTTTTGATTGTGAAAGGGGGGAGTATTAAGGGAAAGGGTTGCCTCCAAGATAAGAGGGATAGAAAGAGAGCAAACGAAAACAGAAAATGGTCACCAGTCTATCTTTAAACTACTCAAAGTAAGCAAGAAAAGCTCATCTCTAAGACTGTGAATACAGCAAAATTCATCTCCATGATTTCCAAGCTTTGCTAACTTTCTTAGCAAGATACCTGCTAGCATTTACGCCACCAACAGCCAGAAAGCCAGACATGGCTTGTCGTGCACTTGAAACCATTACTCTTCGCCTCAAAATCCTCTGCAAGCAATTTGCAGCCTCTTCTCTTGTACTGATTTTAGTATCATGTATGACTATACCTGAAATCATAATATCCCTTTTCACAATTTGGCACATATCACTAAACCCTAAACCATTCAGAGCTACAATCTTACCACCATCAAGTACCATCAAAAGATTAAAATAGCTCTAAGAAAATCAATCAAGTCCAGTTCACCGATAATTTCTCAAAAAAATAGAGTTAATTATATCAGCCCCTCCTCTTCCCCTTTCAGGGATTTGAACCTCAACAATATTAGCCATAAGAACTAAAGCAATAATTCATTAACAAATCAAACAATATTATAAGCATACCAGTTTCCCTTAATTTTGTTTTCTCTCCTTCCTTGATGCTCATCTGGCTTCTGATTGATGGAGGAAGAGCAGACACTAGAGAGCAAACAACTGATAAGTCACAATCCTGTTTTAAATAGTAAGTTAGTTTCTTTACTTGGTATGTAAACTCTGAAGATACATATATATACAGCTTGCGTGCTTCTGCAAGGTATTTTGACTAACAAAATTTTTATGCAGTGAAAAGAAGCTTTTCCATTACACAATATAAATACATGACCCAAAGTACCGAACATTGTCAATAAATGTGATGAAAATATATATAAAGTAATGATTTTCTAGAACAGGAAAAAAAAATCTATAACGTATCTTCAAAATATAAAACCTCAAGAATGTCATCAACATTAATAGCAATCAAAGGTGAAAACTATAATATCTAGAAGATGAAAAAACAAAGAATAGCAGGAAAAAATTGCTTATATTTCTCCTTCTTAACATTACATCTCATAGGATACACAACTTCTTTTTGTAATAAAAATTTTAGGGGGACTGGATAGCATCCCAGTCCAAGTTAGTAAAAAAGTCAAGAATTAAGGTATAATAAATATAGGAAATAAGAACTACAAGTTTGTTTGCAATATTTAAATTTCAAGTGGTAATACTTCAGCATAGAGTTTAAGGCATAACAAAGCTAAATTCCTTAAAATGCATGATAAAAAAACGAGAGAACTACTATTCAGGATACTTGGTTAATACTAATATATTCCCAATTACAATGAATGAACCCAAAAATAAATGACTAATCAAATTGTTTGAATGTTGTCAACCATGTTTTTAGTTCGTCATCCTAATTTGGAAATATGTTAAAATATCCTAATTTGTAATCTGTAATCCTCCAAAAAAGCAATACCAAATAATAAAGACCTGAGAGACATGTATTTGATTATTGGCAGTTGATGAAAGCCTCAATAACTTCTTAGCCTCGTATTCTTCGAGAAATGGCTTATACATCGAGTGGAATAGATCAAACTGTCCATTGACAATCTTTTTCACCTGGCCAGATTGTGAACAAAAGGAACCTCAGAAAAAAAAGCATAAGTAAAATAGGCTCCATATATGATCAATCTGTCTTCCTTCACAAAGAACATGCCACAAACACAAATAGTTTTCCAGCAGG